TTGGAGCTACCTTCATCTGTGTGGAAAATAGTTGTGTGGGCAGGATAAATAGTGATAATGCCCTTACTTTTACAAGATACAGAGTGACATGGCCATCACCTTGTTCCATTACTGTAGACCCAGCTAGTGTACATACCTGAATGGCTTGAGGTCTCAAATTGAAGTTGACAGCTGAAATAACATGGTAAGTATTAGACTGCAGCAAAGGAGACCTGTTTTCTCGAGTGCATGATATTGTTTTAGAAATGCTAGAGCAATGGCGTGGTTTATTATTTTTAATGCTTCTATATAGAGGTTGGACAAGTACATTCATAGCCAAAAAAACATGATGTAGAGTTCAATTACTCTTATATTTTACATGTATCTGCTTTATTTAGTTTATTCCAAAGGCAGATGCCAATGTTAAGTTAATCTGTGTTAATAAATAAATACAATTGTTGCACTGTGGCATTCTCAAGTTTGGAAAATAAATAAAAAACACAATGGATCGTATAATCATGTGATACCAGGGAAAACGCACAATAAAAAGCACTATACGCATCATATGCACAGCTTTAGTGTCTGTGTGTGTGTGTGTGTGTGTGTGTGTGTGTGTGTGTGTGTGTGTGTGTTTGTGTTTGTGGAGGTACTATTCATTATTCTGACTACCTGTGTGAAGAAACTCTCTGAAATGGGTGGCGCGGGATTTAATGCTCCAGTAGCATTTTCCAGATGGCAGGACTTAAAATAGTGTGTGGGCTGGATGACTGGTGTCCTTGATGACGCTTTGGGCTTTCCTTATGTAGCGGGTAATGAAGATATCATGGATTTGTAGCAGGTCTGTGCCAGTAAATTTCTTGATGCTGGCTTAAAATTGTTGTGCTGCAGGTTCCAGTGCTGTGCAGTCAAACCCACTAAAGCATACACTGTGATGCAGCCTGTCAGGATATGCTGTCTATGCTGCAGCAATGAGAGTTAAGCCAAGTCTCAGCTACCATCCTGAATCTTTTGAGACACCTCACAGTCTTTGTTGTGATTTCATGAAAAAGCAGCTCGTATTATGAAGAAGTTTGTGATGGGTACAGTGGTAAATATGAAATGTATTAAATATCTCAGGTGGCCAGGGTGGGTATCTGAGGTAACCAAAGCCAGGGAAGACAAGAATGCATGTAACTATAGCTAGATATATCTGTCAAAAAGAAGCAATGGGGAACTTTCTAGTGTGCGATTGCTCTAGCAGCTCTGTGAGGCTGCACCCAGGCAGGCACAGTAGTGCTTTGAGATGCTAATGTCCTCACAAAGATGATGTTTACATGATGTTTAGCAAGTATTCATCATCTAAGTTTATTGTGTTAGCATCGTAGCATTTGCTAATTAGCACTAAACCCAAAATACAGCTGGCTGATGGAATGTTATTCAGGTATTTGATCATAAAATTAAGTACTGGAAAAAGTGAAATTTTGACATGATGTTGACGGTAGAGGAAAGGTCTGGGGTCTGCCACAGTCAATAGGATTCATCCCCAGGGCATAATTGCACCACATTTAATGACAATCCATCAGATAGTTGTTGAGGTATTTATGGTTTATACCAAATTTATGTAAATGTTATTGGTGAAATGACCAAACATGGCCTCAAGAGCATTTCAATCAAAAGAGCCATTTCCAAAAGAAACACGTCAGCTGTATATTATAGGCTTAATAAATCATGTGAGTTTGCAGTGGAGAAAGTTCAACCACATTCATCTTTGTTTTATTTTGTTCTTCATTAGTGATGTGATAGTGGAATACTGGAGTGTTTTTTTGACAATAAGAAAAACAAATATCGTTTGCCTTGTCTTTTTGGTTCCTGTTCAGTGGAATACACTGTTATGTGTGAGCGAGTAACAAGAAGACAGAGACAGACCGACTGGTCACAATAAAACTCCATCTAACACATTTCTTTGTCTTGTCTGGGCCTGTAGCCTGGGCTGTATGTTTACTGTTTCCAAGAGTGAACACTATTTTTCTGCTAATATAGTTTGGTGTCTAATCTGTTTCCTAATTTCCACTCCTCCCGTAGTCATCGCTTGTTTATCCTCATTGTTATTAACGGCAGACTTTTCCCAGATTGTGTTTCCTGCCGGCATAGTGGTGGCCATGGTTATTTGCTGGTGCAATTAATTAACATCTAACATTTTACAGAATTGTGAAGTGGATCACTACTGGGATAACTTAGATTTAAAGAGGTTGAGAACCACATGCTTATACTGTAATAATTGAATTACAGTAAAGAGCATACAGAAAAGTGGAACTTGTGTTTATCTACTAATAAAACAGGGTAAATGCAGATATAAAGATATATTTCTTGTAATAGCATGTGTCAAATAACGGTCAGGTTATCCTCTTAGCTCAGATTGATAATTACAACTATTTAAGAATTAGGTGTAGAGTAAATGCAGGTTTGTGTAACTGAATAGAGAGCTCATGAGATAACATGCTGTGTTCTCTCGTACATGCACGCCCATACGGATGACATTTCCATTCAATTTCAACATCTAGTTGAAACCATTATCTTGTGTACTGCAGAAAATGTGTTGTTCATCATTATCTCGTGTGGTGTTCGCTCTTAATTGGTGCAGCAATTTAAAAAGGAAATGGCCAAGCAGGGGATCCCATTGTTCAGAAAATTCCTTCTAAGTGCACAGTATTGTTATATGCTTGTAAGCAGTTTTGTTTTTGAAAAGAGTAACTGGTATTTGGTGGTCATTAACTCTCCACACGCTGCAGTAACAGCCAGAAGCCTGCCCAAGGGTGCCTACTCAGAGCAGTTTCTCATCTGGAGATGCATTGAATGAAATCAGAGCTCCTGTCTCACAGCCAGTGTTAGATAAAGCCCCATGTCATTCACAGAAGTGAGGCCAATAGCAGGAGTTCATTGTGCATCAGAGAGAGCAGTACAGCTGTTCAATACAATCAAGAGCTGTTACTCCCCTGGCCCTCAAGAGTAAAAGAATCAAGTAGCCTGGTGATTGACCGACTTATTCGAACACAACAAATGTTTCCCCAGCTTTTTGAAAGTGTGTTTGCTGTGGAATATCATTATAGAGGCTTAAATAATGAATTACTACTGTTTCACACAAACCAGAATAGCATTTTTTTAATATAGTGCTTTGTTTCGAAATCATTTTATTGTCTAATGGACAAGAACAAGAACAAGACATTGCTGGTAATGATGATGATAATGTATTTTTTAGCAAATGTTACTCCCGAAGGAGTAAATAAGGCAGCAGGACGGTGTATGTGGGATCGACTCAAAATGTAATACAGTGTCCGCATTCATCGTAATAAAGGAACATGTTCCTCAGTGTAATGCTCACTGATGTGTTTTTAAATAGTTTTTGGGTGTCAATGGAGATCTACCGCACAGAGAAATAAGCTATATCAGGCTTTGGCTACACAGACGATGCTCGTTCGTGGCATCAATTCATTGCTGTTTCTTCCTGTGTTGTATTTTTTTGACAAAAACAAATATCGTTTGCCTTTTCTTTTTGGTTCCTGTTCCTCCAAAGTGTGTGTGTGTGTGTGTGTGTGTGTGTGTGTGTGTGTGTGTGTGTG